TATATATATATTTAAATAACATATTTAAAAGAGTTCAAGTCATTTGAAATTTTATATGCATGGTTATATGAGTATATAAATTAAATTCAATGCTTAAATTGGTTAAATTTTTATTCTATAAATTATTTGATAATTCATCATTTTACTTTATTTTAAAAGTATAAAAATATTTTAAATTTTTTTGTAAATATCTATTATTAAATAACATATTTAGAAGAGTTAAAATTATTTAAAATTTAATATGAATGATAAAAATATAATATTATCACAAATACCCACATGCACACATATACTTACACTTATATACATCCACGTACGTATGCACACACTTATAACTTTTTAACATAATTTAACTAAATTAATACTTCTTCTATTTCTTATCAAATACTTACGCACGTTGTTATAGATTTTAATTGTGTTTAATTAAATTAATATTTCTCCTATTTCATATGATTTGTATTTTAAGGTAATGTATATTTTAAAAAAATTATTAACTATAGAAATTAATATGATAAAAGAACTTTTTTTTACAAAAGTATATTTTAAAAGAAACAGATCAATTAAAAAATATTTAAATATTTAAGTATGATAGCAATAAAAAAGATATTATAAAAAAACATCTTTATATATATATATATATATATATATATATATTCTGAAATAACAAATATTTTAAAACAAGTAAAATTACTTAAAAGGGAAGGATAATATCAGACAAAATTTAGTATTTTGAATCTTATTTGTTGGTGAATTAATTCGATTTTCAAAACAAATTGCAGCACTTGTGGGAATCCGACTCTTTCCATTATGTAAGTGAATCAGTTCTGTAGATTTTTTTTTGGGAGTAATATAGTTCTGCAATTAAGATAACTCTCATAGTTTGTTAATTATTTATCAAAATTTAAATTCAAATTATTATCTTTCAGAGGATTCATATTTTTATTTTATAATATGTATTAAAATTTCACCTTACTATTTCTTAAAATTAATGTAGACATTTAAGAAAGTCTTTGTTAATTATAGAGTAATGTATAGGACCCGTTATATATGCGGACACGAGAGGACCCATATTA